CTGGGAAAACGATCTGATGTGAAAGATACAGCTGGGAATCCCAGAATAGTATCTAAACCTGGGTACTTCAACAGCAAAAGCACTGGGACATTGGGAAGCACCTCAGAAAGCAGTCATTTCTGTAGGGGAAAGAGTGAGCAGGGTCGAGGTGGAGGAGGCACAGGAAGGGTGTTCAGACAGTGAGGTGTATGGGACATGATCCCTGTGCATGCGTGCCAGGTGGGACCTCTTCTGGACTCAGGAAGGGGTAGGGATCTTAAAGTAAGAATAGCATACACAAGAGACTCTAACGTTTGTTTTTGCTTTTTTTTAATCTGCCATCTAGGATTTCCCAGCATTTTCTGAGGAAGGGCTTCAATAGGGTTGGGTGTTCTCATCATGGAAAAGTGATTGGGTTGCATCCAGTAGGAGCATCTCCCCTTCTACCTAAGACCCAGTGCAGTCTAGGGTAAGGAAAGAACCCCTTACAATTGCAAGCTTTGGGAGTTGAGTTATCCAAGGCTATTGGCCTTGGTGATAGTTCTCTTTCCCACACTCCATCTTATACCTGTCTTTGTGACACTTCATGCAAAAATATGATCTAAACTTCTATAGGTTCTGTCTTCCTAATAGTTCTTGAATCTGCCCCTTCTGGTCTACTGCCTGTACTGTAGCATGGCTTCCTACCTCCTAGACATTCACTCTAATTGGGTGCCCGGAACCTGCATTTCTGATCTCTCTCCTGAAAATCCATCCTACACAATGCCCTCATTCCCCTTGTCTTCCATTTCACTCTCTTTTATTTATTTTTTTTTTCTTTTACACAACACTTGGATCTTTTTAGAAAATCTGCAGTTGCAGTACACAGAGGGTGGAACCGATACCTGGGATCCCACTAAAATGGTTGTTTATTTTCAAGTATTCCTTTACCAAGAGTGTGTGAAGAAAACCACCTGAGCAAAGAGATTTAAACAAATATTTAAAAGATGAAAAGCATGAGAAAACACATCAAAGGGAATAGGGGAGACCAGAGAAAGTGGAGGAGGCAGCTATAGTGGAGGAAAATGATCTTGCAGTAGAACCTTGGAGGGTCTGGGCTTATTGCTGGCAGGCATGGGGAGCAGAGAGGGAAAGTCTGCACTTAGACTCACCTCCATTCCTCTGGTCAAATCAGAGGTCAGGTAGCCCAATATTAGCATATGGATAGGGGAACTTACATGGAGGAGCTCTTCTCTAAAAAAAATTAAAGGAAATTCTGGATAGTGCTAAGTTCACATTGTGGGTTTTAGCATTCTAGAGAGAACCATCCTCATTCTGGCAATATAGATCCTACCAACTCAGTTTGGAGAGACTGAGTATAAAAGATGATGGCCAGACTAATTATAAAAACAGATCTCTAGCCCATTATCTATAGTAACAAGCCCAGAAATCAGCCCACACAAAATTACACTATCTGTAAGTTAGACTTGTAGAAAGTCAGATCACTCTCTCTAGCAAGTAGCTCAGGGACCTATACAACAACCCCTGTAATAATCAGCCCTGAACAGCAAGGATTTGATTAATTACTTCCATCTTCCCTGGTTGTTATTTATACTTCCGGCTTAGGACCAACAGGAGAAAGCCAGCCTGATCACCTGGGATACCCTGCTTCAGCCCACATCTAGCATTGTTGACAACAGTCTCCAATCAGGGAAAACTTGAAGCCTTCCTTCTTTCCCACTCTGAAGTTTGCCCACTTCTCTACCTGCTTGTGATTTGCCAGGATGCATGTGAGGGTGGCCGACTCCCTTATACACATAAAGCATGCTCTGAATAAATAGCTTCTGCTTGTTCCCGTTGGAGTTGTCTTCATTTATTCCACCCTTTGAAGTAAAGTCTTCTGGTCACCAAACCCTCCCCACGAATCCAGGACCCCCAGCAGCTGTGCAATGGAGGGGTAAGGAGACCCATATATTCAACCATGGAACAAACCAAGTGAGCTACAAGAGTCAACTGAGCCCCTTGTTCTTGAATATGGACAGACAGCCAAAGTCACCAGCCTTGAGAAACCCAGCAGCCATGGCAGAAGATCAAAGAATAGAGCAGGGTGATCTTGGAGAAAACACATCATTCAGAGACTAGAAACAAGTTTTTGAAAAAAATTTTAATTAGATCTTCGGTGAGACTTGAGAAGATATTGCATCCACAAAACCGAAAAACAGCAGGCTGTGAAAAACAAGCGGAATAAAAAAATCCTCCTGGAAATTAAAAGTGGATTACTAAAATTAAAAAGATTGCAAGTTTAACAGAATAGAAAGCCAAAAGATGGTCTGAATGTGTGGCAGAAAAGATAAGCCTCTTTTTGTAACTTCTTTGTAACTGAATTCAGAAATGGTTAGTGTGTTGGGGCCCTGGAGTGAGGCGTGGGTGTTAGAAGTCCTTGACCTGTGTGTCAAAGGACTGTGTACACGGATCACTCCGATGGCAATAGATAATCTAACTGAAAATCTGACAGTTTACTCGGCTGTTCCTGGTTTTATGGATGTAATATCTTCCTATGTCTCCTCCCAATCACATTAAAGGGTAGAACACAGACTCTCTTAACCATGACCTCTCCAAGGGGGACCCAGCCCTCCCTCCCTCCTCACATCTGCTTCAGTACCACTTAACTACCTACCAGGCTATTCAATATAAGCCTAGGAGCTGGAGCTGTGGGGGGTCAGACTTAGCTGGTTTAAAACTTAGTTATGTTCTAATTGCAAAAATGGGGATAAGAATATTTGTCAAGGCTTTAATGGGGATCAAATGAACTACCTAGTACATGCCACACACTTAGCAGGGCCCCTGGGCACATAGTAAATGATCAGTAAATACTAACAGTTATTAGGGCTCGCAGAACTAGCCTTGTGTTCAACCCAGCTTTAAGTCTACTTTTGCTACTTTTTAATGCCTAAAACACTTTAGAAAGTCAATAAACTCTCAGCTCTATTACCACCTCAGATAGTTCTTCCAGTTCTCAATTTTGAAATGATGTTGCCTATATGTATTTTTGAAGCCACAATTTATTGAAGTAACTTGGGGCCTTACCTGTGTTTTTAAAAAATGTTTGCATTAGTACAATAGAGCTACACATAATAGTTGGATTCATTTTTACATATTCATAAGTGCATGTAACAAAGTTTGCTCCTTTTTTGCTGGTGGATGGGTATTAGGGATTGAATTCAGGGTCACTCTACCACTGAGACACATCCCCAGCCCTATTTTGTATTTTTATTTAGAGACAGGGTCTGACTGAGTTGCTTAGCACTTCACTTTTGCTGAGACTGGCTTTGAACTTGTGACCCTCCTGCCTCAGCCTCCTGAGCTGCTTGCATTACAGGTGTGCACCATTGCACCTGGTCAAAGTTTACTCCTTTCAGTCCCAGGTACTTCCCCGTTTTCTTCCCTTCTCCCTCTCCCTGTTTGTTTGCCAATAGGCACCTAGGCTGGTTCTATAACTTGGCTATTGTGAATTGCAGTGCTATAAACATGGGTATGCATACATCACTATGCTATACTGACTTTAGTTCACAAAGGTTAGCCAGCTGAGTTTGGATCAGCATTTCCTTTCTGTTGTCAGTGAACTGCCCTCCACCACAGAGCTCAAACCTCACCAACTGTGAGGCCATCAGGATTCTGACCTGGTTCCTTTCTCACAGACTTGATGTGAATGGCCTTGTCTCCATTGCTGCCATCTATCTCCTACTCCACACCCTGAGCATCAGACTTGGTTTTGTGATTATAATGCCCTACCTATGTCAAGGTTTGCTCAGTGAATGAGCAAATTCAAGGTAGGTGCAGAAAAAAATGGAGGCAAAATTCGTTTGATGAGCAGAATACTAGTGTTTGGCAAGATAAGCACTTGAAAAGAAAAGCCAGCCAACTCAAATGCTAAAACCTTCTGTTGCAGAAAGGGTCATGGGAAAGGCACCCTGTAGCACTGGAAGGCACGGGGTTTCGGACTCCAGAAGGTTTCTAGTGGGTGGATTGACTTCCGATCCACTCACAGAAGGACTTGAAGTCAGTGCCCCTTCTCCAATTCAATTCTGATGCCCGTCTCATTCTGTAGATGTGTGGCCCTGCCTGAGAAACAAATCATATCCCAACAAGGACCCTGGCTCACCCACCCTTCCTTCCTTCATTAATTCATCTGGGCCAACTACCTCATTCCTCTCAGCAGATTTAAAAAAAAATCAAGACCTTCTTAAAGGAAGGTCAAAAGAGCTGCTAAAAGTCTTATAGAGAGTGGGAAGGCCAGGTTAGAGCTTGAGTTTCCCAAACTCCAGACTAGTGTACTGCGATGGTGGGGGGAAGGGGTTGAAGGAAGGGGGAACTCTCAATGCAGTTGAGGTAACTGCCTCAGTTTTGGTGTCCACAGTAGAGTTGATGGTCTGGGAGCCCCACCCCTCACCTTGGTTTGAGTCTTTGGTATGGTGTATCACTTGTTAAAAAAGGGGGGAGCGGCGTGGAGAATATTCCCCTCAGAGGCCTTGAGAGGATAGGTAGCAGATACTAAGAAATGAATAATACCCAGCTAAGTAACAGTCTAATGTTGAGACTTCAGTGCAACAGGCAAACCAGCTCTTTGTGCATCGTGGGTCCATGCCTGTGGGCTCTGGTAGAGTGACACAGAGAGGAGAAGTCAGTTGCTATTTTATTGGAGGCACCATGGTAGGATGGGAGGCCAGACTGTCACCATCAGCTCTGCCATGGAAAGGGTGGACATGGGAGGACCAGAAGGGCATAGGGTCCCATCACAGCCCTTATTCTTGTGGGCAGGAGGGGATGGGTCACCTTAACAGTTCCCACCCCAGCTGTTTCCCAGGCCAGCTGAGGCAGAGCACAGCAGAGCAGCGTAGAGTGCCTGGGACCCAGTGTGCAGGGTTCAGACACCAGCTGCTGCTACTTCTGCTCCTTTTAGTGAGTGGCCTGAGGAAGGAGATGGCCTTGGCCTGGTCACTGCCAGTGGGAGCAAGGAATGTGGGTGGGGGAAGGAAGGGTCCTCAGGAAAGGAAGAGCAGGAACAGAGAGAAGGGAATGGGGACATAGGCAAGCTCCCAGGTTGGGGCAGTGTTAGCCAAGAGGCGGGTCACAGCCACGTTGGGGTTGCCCTGAGCAGGCTCAAACCACTTCTGGAGACATCTCCCACTGTTCCTGTGCTCAGGACTTGCCTTGAAGGAGTTGCTCCAAATCTTCTCACACAGGTCAGTTGGGGTGGGGAAGTAATGGGGGAAAGGGTGACAGATGTCCTCTGCAGGGCAGCGGTTCTTTCCTGTGGTGGGTTGAGGTAGATAGCTTACTTCCCACTGCTTCCCCATGTCCCCATCATTTACCCTGGGGTGGGGGAGACACAGGGAGGTTTGCATCTGTACCCAGGTTGGAGAACCCCCAATGGGTCTGCCTTCCTATGGTGCCCTCTCAGTGCCACTCACCCTGACTCCAGTGCCAGCTGCTGTACCAGTTGGATTTGCAGGTATAAGAAGTGCGGCAGTCTGCCCACCACTCCTCACAGTCTTCCCGGCACAGTGGCACCCCCACGATGCGTTCTCCCTGCCCACTGGGCCCCACCTGGGTGCAGGCATAGTGAGAGACAGGAACATGAATAGCAGCAATTTGAAGCCTACTAATAGTATAATGGTACTTGTGCCAGGTACTTATTCCAACTGTATATCCTCCCTTGTAAACTCTCTGAGTACTATTATTTTTACAAATGAGAACAATGAGGCTAAGTGCCTTATCCTAGGCGGACAGCTAGTAGGTAGAGAAGATGGAATTCAAACTCAGGTCCGTCTAATTCACCAAGCCTCCCTTGGTGATAGTCCCTATCCTTCTGTTATCTGACCAGCCTCCCCCATGCCATCCTTCAGAGTCAGAGGCAGCTTCCTCTTCACACCTTTCTCCAACAGAGGCCTCTGGCTCTCCTCTGTTCACAGGGATACAACATTTCCTGCTTCTACCAGTCTCCTGGAGATACCATCATATTACCAGCTCTTAGTAACTCCAAGTAACTCTTAGAAGCTCCAGCTCTTAGTAACAAGGTGTCATATGAATTTATCATCTATTTCCTCACCAGCTGGATCCAGGGCCCCAGGTTAGGGGAACACTGATAGAAGCAGATGGCCTGGATGAAGTGTTTCTGACAGCTTGGGGTCAACAATCCACAGTGAACCAAGGTGAAGTTGTGGAGTGGGGACACCTCAAGGTGGGCTTCCCAGCTTGTGGTGGCTGTGCAGCAGGCATTGTCCTTCCAGGGGATACACTGAAAGTAGAGGAAGAAGTAACAGGCATGGAGAGTAAGAGGCAGGGTGGGTAAGTGTCTAGGGCAGAAGGTGGCAGAGTAAAAATGCACCTTAGGAGAAAGCCTGAGCAACTGGGGTAGCTTGAGGCCAGCAATCCCCACGGAGGAGGAACCTTAATATCTTCAATATTCACCTATAGGGCAGAAGGCCCCTGCACACAGACCTCCCAACCCCAGGCTGCTGCAGTAGCTGCTATAGTCCTCTGGAACATGACTTCTGGGGTTTTCAGTTTCTGAGAGGGCAGCAGAGGTCTTGGGGGAAAAGCAAATAGAGAGGAGACCTCAGAGAATCAAGGTTGCATTGATTCAGAGGGACTCACAGGCTAAATGCCAGCTCTGCTCCTCCTCCCGCATCCCTGTGAATTGGCTTTAAGAGTTTGGGGAGGGAACCATTAAGTCATGTTTCCCCAGGACCTGTTGGTAGGAAGGCTTGTTTTGACCTGTGCTGAACCAGCTCTGGGCCTCTTGGATCACCATCTGAGCCATTCCCCAAGTGGCCAGTGCAGCTCAGAAATGGGAACTTGAGATCACTTTCAAACTAAGGAAATAAATGATCTGGATTGGTTGGGATCCAGAGACCATCTTGGCATTTGTGTTTCTTCCATGATCTGCCCTCTATCACCCCTGGGCCAAGTCTGGACTTTATACCTCTACATAGAGCTCGTCTTCTGGGCCAGGCTCTCTCTTGTGGTGTTGGGCATTCATGCAAACATTGAGTAGCGTGTCTCCAGCCCAGGTGGGCATGACTGTCCACAATCCTAGCAGAAGTTGCCACCACTGTGCCATGACCTGATGCAGAGAGGAAACTCATGATGCTCATACAATGAATAGGACAACCCACTCCACTTCCTTCACCTGTCAGGCACTGAAGAGTACAGACTCCAAGCCTCCCTCAAGTGGCTGAATTACTGACTGCTCCCAAGACCCTCTGGGGTAACATTATAGAATGTCAGAGCAGATGGAATAATCCTTTGTGGTCTGATACCAACCCCAACCATTGTATTGATGCAGTCCAATAAGGGAGAGAGACAAGCCCAACCCTAAGGGGTAGGCTGGGGAGCATGGTTTCAGCCTTTCCTGCAGGAACTCTCCCCATCCCTCCTCCACTTAGAGTCAGCCTTTCTAACTCTGACATATGGGCTGGGAATTTAGAGCTTTGAAATTGGACCACAGCCAACCCCCAAATGCTGGCTGAGTAATCAAACAAATGCTCAATTACTAGAATCTCCATGGAACCAAAGGGCATGGTGGGATGGGACAGTGTAGCCAATGCAGGCCTTACCCTATCAAGTATCAGCCCTAACTTCAGTCCCTAGGAGGGGTAGATTCTCAGAGCACCTTGCCTTCTCCCTGAATGCCTCTAGCTAGAGTCTTTTCCTTAGAACAGAGGTTCTGCTTCTACCAACATCAACCCATCTCAAACCCATCCTGAGTATAAGGCTGGAGAGCCAGACATGGGGTGTATGCCCAGGATGAGGACTTGAGGAACCTTCTGCAACCAAGCCCAAGCTCAAGCCTCAGGACAGGAAGATGGCTTCATCATCTTGGTGTTTATTGAGCACTGTATTTCCAACTTGGTTCTGTATTGTACTGGCAATTCAAGCACCTAATTGCTAAGTCTCTTTTACTTAGCAATTAGATGATTGAATTGCCAGTACAATACAGAACCAAGCAATTGGTTCTGTATTGTCTTCACAATCCAGGACTCTCTCCTTTCTTGTCCCCAGGCCTGGTAGGAGCCTACCCTGGACCCATGATAATGAAACTAAAAACTGGCCTGAGTTTAGGGCCTCACTCCTACCTCCAGAGCCTACCCTCAAATCTAAACCTTAGGCTGCTCTCTCCACAGCACCAATGCTAAGCTCAAACTTGGCCACCAAGGTTTTTTTTTTTTTTAATGTTTTAGTTGTTGATGGACCTTTATTTTATTTACTTATTTATATGCGGTGCTGAGAATTGAACCCAGTGACTCACACCTGGGAGGTAAGCGCTCTACCACTGAGCTATGACCCCAGCCCCACCAAGGATTTTTAAAGAGCCAATGTAAAGTGAAGAGAGCACTCTCTTCATACTCACTTTCAATGCAGGAGCCTGCCAGTTGCTCGTCCCACCCCTGAGCTGTGAGAAGGCCAAGGGGAACTCCACCCCTCGCCCATTTATTTCCTGGTCCAGTTCTACAAGATCCAGGTGCAGCAGCAGAATTGCAGGTGTCTCCAACTGAGCAGCCTCTTCTGCCCTTCTGCGGGCCTCTGAGTTTCCCAGCTCCACTTCCTCTAAGAAGCAACACCCTGCGTGGGAGAGGACCAGGTCCAGCTTACCTCTCACCAGCTGGATGACTTTGAGAAAACTACTTAAACACTCTAAGTACCAGTTTTCCCATATGTAAAGGGAGCTGTTAAAACATGACTGCTGGGAAAAAGAAAGTTCATGAAAAGGACTTGGCATAGCCCCTGGCACAGAGTAAGTCTTACTGGTTTTAATTCTTCGATTCTCTGAAGTTCTCTCCCTCCCACTACCTCTCAATCCCTCTCCCCTGTGCTGTTCTGCAGTTCTACATGCCCCTCCTCAGCTCTCTTACCTGTGGACTGAGTAACAGTGTCCTCTCACAGACTCCTGCTGGAGAGCAGACCCCTCAGCACACAGGATGAAGAAATAGGGTGCGGGATTGAGGACTGAGAGTTTAAATGTACGACCAAAGCCAAAACAAACACAAAACATTCCTCACAACCCACACAATGGCCTCCATTGGCACACAGGGACTGTTGGCCTGTGAAATATTCTCAGAGTGCTCCATCGGAAATGGAGCCCATATTTTTGCTCATTTCTATGTTCCCTCTCCAAAGGAGAAGTAAGCAAAGTCACTGAAGTTTTATTGGTAAATAGGAAATGAAAACAAAACACTGGCAGCATTTTTAACTAAAGAAAATAGAGCACAGTCTGTTGTTGAACCACACAGACGATGTGCAAAACGTGTTAATCATCATGTTGGAAAATGACATTTTCCACATCTGGGTTATCACAGCCCAACTACTGAGCAATAATGAGGACCAGGCACAGGGCTGGTGCCATCTGTACACAGTCTGGCTTACCACTTGCCACCACCTCTAGCCTCAACATCCTCCCCATTCTAGATGTGGGGAAACTGAGGCTCAGCTAGGGAGTGTGGCAGAGGTAGGCTCTGAACTCAGGGATTGTGATTTCATATCTGATGCCTAAGGCCCAGCTGGAGGTAGTGCCAAAACAGTAGTACTATCTAGGTCTCATATCTGCTTTTTTAAAAGTTAGATGCCATAATCAGATTGTGGATGTGTGTGTTGGGAGGTGTGTATGATTTTTTGGGGGGACAGTGATGATTACCAACCCAACATCTATATCCTGCCATAAGCACATCTGGGAGTCTCCTCCTTGGGATCAGAAAGCAAATGGTAACAGCATTTCTGCAGCATGGGTCTCTTCTCAGGGCACCCACTGGAGAGGGCAGAAGCAGGCACTCACATCTGTTCAGCTCCTCACAAATATTCAGGGAGTGCTAAACCTTGAAGAGTAAAAGATTTGAGGTTGAATATTAAGCTTAAAATGGCTGTGGATGTGGCAAGGACAAGAATCCAGAAATGAGTCACAAAAGTAATTACTGAAGTGGAAAACTGTCCTTCAGATGGAGGGAAGAAGGGCAGGAAGAACTCGCTAGCAGTCTCTAGGACAAAGCTGTAGGAAATGAGCTGAAATTACAGCCAGCGCAGATGCAGGTGGAGGGAGGAGGAGGAGGCTGCCTTTCAGAACCACGAGGCTGGCCAGCGGCATCTGCTCCCTAGAGAGGCAGTTTGAAGCCCTTGAGCAAAGCTCATTTTGCCTTATTGTGACTGAGTTTTCCAAAGAAATCTGTTTCCTGACTGAAAGCTGATAAATCAGAGCTGGCTGTGGATGGAGCCATTTGAAGCAGTCGATCCAAAACAATTTCATTGTACAACAAAAACAACAACAGCAAAACGACATTTAGATAGCCAAGGGAAGAGGCACAGCACTGTTCAGGGTATTCTGATGTGTTGAGAGGGTGGAATGGATGGAGCCATTCCACCCCCACTCTGATTTGGGACCCTGGGGGATACGGGGCAGTGATGACTCTCTTTCCTTTCCCATCATGAGGTCACCCACTGGGCTGAAGTCCACTGAGTTCAAGAACAGACTAAGTCTTAGAATTTACAGGGAAATGGATGGCATTAGAGCAGATTATGCTAAGTGAAGCTAGCCAATCCCTAAAAAACAAATGCCAAATGTCTTCTTTGATATAAGGAGAGTAACTAAGAACAGTGTAGGGACGAAGAACAGGAGAAGAAGATTAACATTTAACAGGGATGAGAGGTGGGAGGGAAAGGGAGAGAGAAAGAAAATTGCATGGTAATGGAAGGAGACCCTCAGGGTTATACAGTGGAGGAAGTAGAGAGAGAGGAGGGGAAGGGAGGGGAGAGGTGGGGAGGGGGGAGGGTGGAGGATGGGAAAGGCAGTGGAGCACAACAGACACTAGTATGGCAATTTGTAAATCAATGGATGTGTAACTGATGTGATTCTGCAATCTGTGTATGGGGTGAAGGTGGGAGTTCATAACCCACTTGAATCAAAGTGTGGAATATGATATGTCAAGAAATTTGTAATGTTTTGAACAACCCACAATAAAAAATTAAAAAAAAAAAAAAAAGAACAGACTAAGACAGCAAAGAATCAACATCAGAAATCTCCTGCAGATTTGAAGTCAGAGGTCGGCTGAGGGTTTATTGGTGACTCAGACATTTTAGCCTTATGAATCCTTCTTACCCCGCCCAAATCAGTGACCATCCATGTTTGAACTCTTAATTAGTTTGTAGTGAGGGCAGTAAAATAGGGGTGTTATTTATTCTTATTTCTTTCTTCCCTCTATGTCCATCTAAATGCCAGAACTGTTGATAATTTTCTGAAGCCAAGTTCTTTCGTCCCTTTTGTTGCTTGCCCCTCTGTCAGGTTATGATCAGTTCTTCCCTCAGTGACTGCAACAACCTTCTAACTGGCTCCCTTGCTCCTTCCCACAGCTTTATCCATGCAATAGCCAGAATGATCTAATTTCCCAGTATTTTATTATGAAAGTTTTCAAGCACAAGGAAAGTTGAGAGAATTTGACAATGAATACCCACATAACTACCACTTTGATTTTACCCTTACCATTTTACTTTCTTTATTATCTGTTGAACTAACCATCCATCTTTGGTGGAGGTTGAGCAATCAATCTTATTTGCACTTCAAAGGGAATGGCAAACATCAATATACCTCTTTCTAAATAATCCACTCATGCATATCATTAATCAGAGTTCAATATTTGTTTGAAGTCTGTTTTTTTTCCCAGAATGATATTTTTAAAATATAAAAATATTTACTATACCTCCCTATTTAAAATCCTTGTAGACGTTGAGATGAACCTCAAATCCTTGACATGGGCAGGGACCATTTTTAATTTAGTCCCTATTTACTCTTCTATCTGAATCGGTTTTCTTGTCTTTTGTCTACACTTGGTTAACCCTGATGTCTGCCTCGCTCCGTATCAGTGGCTTCTTAACTCCCTCATAGCCTGCCCGGTGTCTGATAATTCCTACATATCCTTCAACTCTTGTAAAGGACAGTGCCCCTGATGGAAGCTTGTGTGGTCCCCCAGGGGCTGGTGAGATGTTCTCTTGGGGTCTTAGTCCTGCTACCCTCACTGATCCTTGCTGCTGGGAATGAGTGCTAGAGCCTCGCCCTGAGTCTCCTGTCTATGTGGATGG